ATTATATCTTCAACTACGTTGAAGGCCAAGCGATTCCCAAAATGAACACTGCAAATGTTATTTAGGGTTTTAATGAAATATGAAAACATCATGTTCTTACATCCCCAATCCCAACAAATGAAAGATCCAGCCCTTCCCAAATGACTTAATGTATCTTTCACTAGGACAACATAGTTTTGAATACACTTGAAGTGGAATCGCTGGCTTTCATCTATCTACATACACATAACACTTGAAGTTTTCTACTCTATACTCACCTTCTGTTTAGACACATTTTAGACACATATTGCAAAAGCTATGAACACCGTGTATACTATGGTGGCTTATATTCACTTCTCTGCTACTAACACTTGACCATCAATGAACATTAGACGTACTATCAATTGCCCTCCCTCTCCCACTTCAACACGTTTTAACATTTTCTCTCCAACAAGTTTCGCTATTTCGTGGAACAACTTTTCCATGCTATCAACAAGATCTTGTCAAACTCTTTGAAAGACCTTTTCAAATAAAAGATATAACTATGATTATATTATATATAACTACTATTCTCTCATTTTCTTTTATTCTATTGCATAGTTAGTAGCAAATAGAAGTGGATGACTTGTCTTTCTTTAGTTTCTGACTCCTTTTTCTGCAGCAATATTAAAAAAATATACAAAATTAACAACTAGAAAATAATGGATCCAAGCAAGATTTTGAGAAAGAAGCTCTAACAATAGCTTTGTTTAAGACAAACATCTTTTGATGACTCAATATAATCTAGTTATACAATCTCGTCATATAATTGAATATCAAAAGTGTTAAATACACAATCTTGTGAAAACAGATAACTCTTCCTCCTTCCTTCTCATTATGCTCAGGTGTTCTTTTTTTTAAAAAAATAAAAACAATTATGTTTAAGATGCTATTAGATACAAGTCACTCTCTCTAAATTGTAGTTAGAGAAATGCTTAACAATCAACATCGTGGAATGTCCATGCTGATAACATAAAATAAAAAGTCTATTTAGGTTGAAAATATTTTTTTTAGAGAGAATGATAGAGAAATTTTAAAAGAATTAATTAATTTAAGTTAAATCTTAAATATTAAATTTTAAACATTTATAATTCAATTTCTCTATTTTACAACTTCATTATAATGAATTTATAATTTATATTTTAAATTTTAATGAAAAAAATAATTTTTTAAATTTTTTAATTATATTAAAATTTAAAAAAATAAATTATAAATTTATTATAATATAATTATAAAATTGAGAAATAAATTTGTATATTTTTAAAAGTTAACATTTGACACTTACCTTAAATTAACTGATACTTTTATCATTCTTTCTTTTTTCTCAGGAAAAATGACAATCAAGTCCCAAAAGATTAATTTTATACCAGTTAAATCCCAAGTAATTTTAAAAGGCCAATAAAGTCCCATGCTGTTTTTCACAAATTAGAGTTCTAATAAAAAAGACGAAAATGCCCCTATAATTATTGACTCAAGGAAGCTTTATTCTCTGCTGAGTTTGTTTGGCTGGTGCGTTTAGACATGTTTTTTTTTTGCAAATCCCTGCATCTGAATAAAAAAGTTGACTCCATTAAGATCTGATTTCTTGCAAAACGGCTCTCGTAAAGAAGAAGATGGAATGCTTTTTTACAACTGAACATGAAAGATTTTTTTTTTATTTCACATCTCTAAAAATTTAGCATGAAGATTCGACATTTTGCAACTGAAAGTGTAAGAATTTATCATCGAGTATCCATATTTTAAGATGGAACGTTCTCACTGTCTCACTGATGTAAAAATCACTTATGTCAAAAGTAACTTGTTTCTAAGTGATATATTATTACATTTTAATTTGGTAAGTTTGCAAGTTCAAAAATTAAATAGTTCTTCGATCCAAAATTTCATGTACAAGTTGCAAATTATTCCTAATGAAGTTGCAAAATTTGGTGTCTCAGTTGCAAAATACTGAAACGTTGTCCTAAAAGAATAAATCTTGTAAGAATCTAATAGTTCTTCGATTCAAAATTTTGAATACCAATTGCAAATTGTTCCTAAGGAAGTTGCAAAACTTGGTGTTTCAGTTGTAAATTACTAGAACATTGTCCTAAAAGAATAACTCTTGTAAGAATTTAATAGTTACTCGATCCAAAATATCGAGTACCAGCTGTAAATGCTTCCTAAGGAAGTTGTAAAATGTGGTGTCTCAGTTGTAAACTATTGGAACGTTATCCTAAAAAATTTAACTTTTCTATGAATTTAATAGTTTTTCGATCCAAAATTTCAAGTACCAGTTGCAAATTATTCCTAAGAAAGTTGCAAAATTGGGTGTTTCAGTTGCAAATTAATGGAATATTGTCCTAAAAGAATAACTCTTGTAAGAATTTAATAGTTCTTCGATCCAACATATCGACTACCAGATGCAAATTGTTCTTAAGAAAGTTGCAAAATTTGGTATCTCAGTTGCAAATTACTGGAACATTGTCCTAAAAGATTTAACTTTTCTATGAATTTAATAGTTCTTCGATCCAAAATTTTGAGTACTAGTTGCAAACTATTCCTAAGGAACTTGCAAAATGTGGTGTCTCAGTTGCAAAATACTGAAATGTTATCTTAAAAGAATAACTCTTGTAAGAATTTAATAGTTCTTCGATCCAAAATTTCATGTATAAGTTATAAATTATTCCTAAAGAAGTTCCAAAATTTAGTGTCTCAGTTGCAAATTACTGGAGCCATGTCGTAAAAGATTTAACTCTTGTAGGAATTTAATAGTTCTTCGATCCAAAATTTTGAGTACCAGTTGCAAAATTTTCCTAACGAAGTTGCAAAATTTGGTGTCTCAGTTGTAAATTACTGGAGCTTTGTCCTAGAATAATAACTTTTTTAAGAAATTCAGTAGTTATCCCACCCAAAATTTTGACAAACAGTTGCGACATTGGTTATATATAATTGATTTGGTTGCTTATTCAGCTTGTTTGATAGTCACAAAAAGTGTTTTATATCACTTCACTTGTCCTAAAATAATAATGAAATTAAAAAATTCCATGATTCATTTGTTACATTGAATTGGATCACCATATGATTAAAGTAATATAAGTAACAGCCTAGCTGTTTCAATTGGCAAGAAATACACGTTATATAGATAATTTTTGCCACTCGCATTGAATCATTGGCTTTTATAAGACCACTAAATTTTTCTTTATTTTTTTTTAGAAACTCTTTTTTGAAGTTGTCGTATCCAGACTTTTTTTTTATTGTAGCTTTCTTGTTGTCCATAATTTCTTGGTGTCTCAGTTGCAAATTACTTTTTTCTAGTTTGCAACAAAAGCAAATGAAATAGATTCAGCCAAATGTTACACCCAAAAACACATCACATACATATACACTAACATGGAATAGTGAACATGTAGGGTAGCAGCTTTTAATGGATTAATTAAAACTTTGGCAAATATGAGAGAGGAGAAAGGGGCTAATAGTGGTCATTTTCAAAAACATCAGGCCATTGTGATTATAGATAAGCTAAACGTAAAGGACATGTATACGCAGTGATTACAGTCCCAAGCCACATCATTACAAATATTATCCCAATACAAATGTAAAGAATGCACATACCAAACACCACTTAAAAGATTCTTCATATTTTAATGTATCTCATCATAGTTTGGCTACTATAATCATAAATGGGTAGGGTACCAACGCACATATTATCTCTTGGTGTAACAAACTTAGAACCTCACATAAGAGGAAGCAAAATAAACATAGAAGATTGCCTAAAAGATACGAACAAGAACCGGGTCTTACAAAATGCTACTCAAATTGGAAATACCATAGTGATATGCCATGTTCTGTTACAAAAATTAACACCTAAATAAAAGCATAAGCCTACACTTAAACAACTATTTGCATAACAACATTGCAAAGCTGATGAATTGACCAGTTTGCATCTTAATATAGACTTTAAAGTTAATAAAACACAAAACAGCAGGATCAAATGCTAATTACTATTGGATAAAGTCACTCGCATTCACTATAATGAGTTCATAACACAAACTAGTTTAAAAATAGCACAAAATTACTATATGGCTAACTGACAAGCTTTTCTTCTATTTAAGAAAGCATATCATGTTGTTCTTACAAGAAATCCTAGAAGATGGAAAATGAGTAACTAATGGGGTATGATATTGATTATGTCAAACTTATTTATAGAGCTGCCATTACATCACAATTGTAGTGATAACAACTTCTGAATGACATGGAATGTAATTCACACTTCATGATTTGGAAGACATTTTATTAAATATTAAAATATTTTTATTTGATTCTGAATTTATGACAATATACTAATAAAGCAGATGTGTATATATCTATGTATGTGTGCATGTATATGTATAACGGACTAAAATCATATTCAACTTCTTCTAATTTGATAAGCATTTGCAATCAAATTTCATGTAAAACACATGTCAAACACTTAATTTATCTCTAATTTGTGTATCCACAAAACTGATTGTCAACCAGAAACTACATAAAATAAGCAATAACTTATGGTCTCAGCAAGTAAATACGTTACTAGCCTTAGTTTCTGCCAATGACAGACAAAAGTAACAATAGGACTAATGGCAATTTTAAGCCTACTTGAAATGTGTTTGAAAAGGATACGAAGTACTGATATTTATGGTTAGATAAAGTAGAAGGCTGCACATGTACCCATCATCAGATTAAATGGTTCCCCTGTCATTCTTTTTTGCAATTTCACACGTGTAAAAGTTGCTAACCTACTGCTCTATCATAGGATAGAACCCTTTACAAGATCCCTGCATCCTGTAGCTTGCTTCTGTAACTTTGTTTTTTACATTTAACTGTGATTGGCTCTTAAATATGATATAGAACCAAAGTCCATCAGCCAAATCAAATATCCCCAAGCTCAATTCTAATATAGAAAACACAGAAACTAAAAATTTTGCTGTTGAAAGATTTATACAAACTTCTTCCAACTTAGAGAACGCATGTCTGAAGCCAGAGTATGCAGGCAGCTTAAGGACAGTCAGACAAAACATAAACAGTAATAGACGCAAAGGTTATGTGAAATCAATGGAAAACCATAACTTATGCAAGAAGACAGAAGCACACGAATGACATACTGACTTTCAAGAAAGGGCAAAAAGAAAACAGAGAAGAGACAAGGAGTAATATACAAAGATGACAAGATGAGAATAGACACAGATGAGAAGCAATGTACCGACAAATCAATCAAAACAGCTTGCATTGAGGAAGAGAAGCTTTCCTGTGATCAATCAATCGAAAGAGCTTATGCTAGGGTAGAGAAGCTTTCCTCTAATCAATCAATTGAAATAGCTCCTTGGTAAGGCAACGAAGATCAAAAGAGAGCTCGTCGTTAGGGCAAAGAAGAGAGCTCATCGCACACATAGGAACTTATTAGCAAGGCAGAGAAGAAACCGAGCAGAGATGAGAGCTCGTCCTACATAGGATCTCGTTCTAGCAGAGAAGAAAACGAGCATTTAACAATTACTTGAAAAGAAGGGTGTTTCAGTCTTTTCTTGTGACACCAAAATACCACTTAAGTATTTTGGGACTTCATTGGCCTTTTAGAATTACTTGGGACTTAACTGATATAAAATTAATCTTTTGGGACTTGATTGTCATTTTCCCTTTGTCTTATCCTCCTTTGGAGGTTGGGAGGCCGACGCTCCGTCTCGCTATTTCTTTTCCGGTTTTCCCTTACCCGGGGTTGCCATCTCTCCGACATCATCAGACTAGCTCCTTCTGGCGGTAAATTCTCCAACGTCTCGCTTGTAAGTCCGTCTCTCTCTTTCCTTAATTACTCGATATTGAAGTTTACATTATATATAATTTTGTGGGGCGAGTTGTTTGACCTGTGCCGATTTGGCTATTATCTCTTTTTCTGCTTTGTCTTTCCTCCAACGCTGGGATCTTTAGATGTTTTTCTTCTGGAAATTGTTGTTTATTTATTCATTTCCATGCTACTGCCTGTTGAGCTTCGAATTCCTACCTTTTCCCTTTTTTACAATTCCCATAATAAGTGGGAATTTTCTGCCCTTGTGTTGAATAAGGAGTCACTATATTTGATGGTTGTTAGAGAAATGGAAAGAGCTCATAATTTGGCTATATGCTTATTGGGTTTCCCATTTCCGTTCGAATTCGAGTCCTCTTATTGGATGTTTTGAGCTAATAAATTTGCAAAAAAAAAAAAAATCTATAGAATACATTCTAAAATATTGTACTCAAGTTTTTGGCACTTTTTTTTAAGAAATTATTAAAAAAAAAAACTAACGTTTATTCAACCATTATCTGTGATCTGGATAAGAGAATTAGGTGCCATAAGGCGCTTGCTTCATACCCAGAAAACGTGCTTGACTTTTGGCGCCTGACTTTTACCAGCATGAGAGGTGCTAAAAAAAACTTTGCCTCTATGGTACCCAATGCCAAGACAAGCCCTTTTAATAACATTGCTGGTGGATCTAACATTGTATCTTAACGCGGATAATAAAATAATTTATTTTGTTCTAGGATTTCAAGGATTCTTGATGTGCATGTGGCATTAGTTCTTTGGGGAAGAATTTGTTAATTTATTACCCTAGCAAAGGCATTTTTTTAACACAAGAACAAAGTTGTGAAAAAAAAAAAATAAAAGGTCATATTTTACACTGTCTAATCAAAATGTTGAGTAACAGAGTAAGAGGAAAGGAGAGCAATGATAATCAACTTCTTATCACTGTTTACTTATTTTGGGGCCTTCACTTTGTGGGCATATTATTAATAGTTGATCCACTTGGTCGCATTGTTTTTTTTGCTAATGCTTCCATGGGTGCATCAATGAACTAGCTTGATTCCTTTTGGTTAATCTTTGCAGGCATTCTAGCTTGCTAGATGGCTATATGAATATTGCAATGGAACAAACAGAAGAGTATGTCAATGGGCAATTGAAGAACAAATATGGAGATGCTTTTATTCGAGGGAATAATGGTTGTTATGGTGATGTTTCATATTAGCATTTGATTTATTTTACTGCAACGAGTAATAATTGAAATATCTTACATCGATCCAGTTCTATACATCAGTACATCGAAAAGGACTCACACAGATGGGGCTTAGATTATGACTTTGTGCTGCTATTTCACAACTTTGGTTTCGGAAGACTGCTGATTGGCTATTACATTTCCAGGTTATTGCTTACAGGTTTTGATTCTTATATTTAAGCTGTACACTTCCTTCGTGCTTGTTAATTGTGCATATCCCTGACAAAATGAAACAATTTGTTCCCGAAAAGGTTGTTCTGCAAGCTCTAAGATCCTCTTCATTCACGTGAATGTAGAGGATGCATTTAGAGAAACATTGAAAACTGTTATTGTGTGTGGTGCCCACACCCTCCGTTAGATATTTGGATAGAGGGCAGACATATCATATTTAGGTGAGGCTTATTTGTCTACTTTTTCTCTAGCATTCTCAACATTCACTTTGTGAATTGGGAGAGGCCCTAAATTTCTAGCATTGCTGTACTTCAGTTTTCAGGGTTTCTGACAATATTAGTCACATTTGTTGTGTAAGGGCGTTTATTTTTTTCCCTTTAGAGCATTCTACATGCTCGGAATGTTCCCTCGAGTAGTCATGTTCAGTATTTTCATAAAAATTGATTAATGTCGTATTAGCGTTGACGAATCAGCCTAAGATTTTTTTAGATAATTTCAAGTTCATATTGAATGTTATAAACATTGACCACTCGCTTAAGATGGTATACTATAAACTAGCTTAGGTGGGGAATCGTATAAATGTGAAATAGATCTAGGTATAACCGAAGCTGGTAATAGACACGCTGTGTTTGGATTACCTCCCCTATTGAGATTAGGGTGGTCCAAACCTCGCTTAGGGGGTCAAAAGATCTTACTTAGATTAAAATCTTGTTTGAATAAAAAAAGTAGCTAAATAGATGGTAAGGCTAAACAAGTGTTATCATATGGAAACTGAGAAGAGTAGCTTTTTAACGTGCCGTGGGGTGTAGTGTTGGGATATTGGCATATTCTTTTCTCTCTACTCATATCTTCACTTCTAGATTGCTACTTCTCTCTTTGCTCAGTCTCCCATTTTCACAAGCTCTGTCTTCACCTCCTTGCCATTGTTGCTGACCGCTCATTGTGCTTGCTGCTGTTTCTGTTAGAGGAAGTCTAGGATGTCGTGACAACTTGTAGGTTCCATCGAGATTGCTTTGTCCCTTATTTTCTTCTTGTGCTGACTGTGTTGCGCGATATCAGTCAAGATTGTTGGATCTTGTCTTTGCTTTCCTTGGTCCTCGTTCGGTGCTTGCCATGATTGTACTCGCTGGATTAGCTCTCTGTTGTTGTTACTGAATTCATAGAAGCAAAGGAAACCCCCCCCCCCCGGCGGAAACAAAGCGAAAGCTTAGCCAGGACAAAGAAGAAAAAGCTGCACTCCTTGAAGTTATAGGATGTTGATTCGATGAAGAAAAAGTTGCTCTGTTGATATTGATTTGCTTGGAGTTTGCTAAGGGAGCTTTGATTCGTTGGTCCTGGTGGCTGTCTTTTTGCCCTCTGTGAACAGTGTCTATATTCTGGATATTTTCTTTTCTTTTCTTTTTTGTTCTCTCTTTTTTTCTGTTTATTTTTAATTTAGTTTTTACTTTTCCTTTCTTTTTAATTTTGAATTGAGCTTGGTGCTTGATCACCTTTGGATATACTTTAATTTTCATTACTTTTTCTTTTCTTTTTTGTTTTGCCCATTGGGTGTTAATTAGTAATTATTGAATTAATTTTTCCAGTTAAGTGCAATGGATTGGAGAATTAACATTCAATTATATATTCATATCTTTTCGTTGTATTACTGGAAGAAATTCACAAATTATCGAAATCCATGAAAAATACTGATGAAAATTTTTTAATTTATCAATTTATTTTATATTTTTAATTCTACTTTTCCTAAAAGAAAGTATTTTTTAAGTTTAATTTTTTTAAAAAATATATCAAATTAGTTGCAAAAATATATATATATATATATATAAAATTTTATGTTCATTTTAATTATTATATATTTCAACTAATTTTTGAATTAAGTTATCCAAATAAACTTTAACTTATCCAATTGACTTGTGATAAAAACAGTATTTAAATATAAATCACATTAAAGTTATAAGCTTTTATCCTAATCTCAATTTTAATTTGCTAATCTCAATTGGTTTTATTTGGAGGGGACAATGTTTTACCCAAAAATCGTAATATTAACTTTATTTTAATAAGGTTTTTATACTAATTAAATTAGTTAAATTGAGATGATTATTAACGAGACTTTAGAGAGAAAAAAAAAAACGGCCAGGACAATCATAACGAGACTTGTGAATTTAGAATAACTTTTTAATATTTAATATTATCAAAATAATTATTACATACGAGCAACCTATATCTTGATTTCAAGAAAAGATTGCATCCCATACCATTTTCGGATGTAATTATGATTAAATTAGATTTTGGATAATTTATTTGAATACTCAGGCCACACGAAAGCCTGTATGTATAGCGCCAAAAGAGCCGAACAATTTCCAAAAGGAAAGCATAGATACAATGATTAGAAGGGAGACAAACCAAACACTCAACAAAGTCCAATGCACAGGCCCCGCAGCTCCGCCAATTTCATAATTTTGTTATGAATGGGACACAATAACATGACAATTATAACATATTCTCTCCTTCCCACATTATAAAACATTTTTAAATAAAATCACATACTAACAATTTATTATACTTTATAATTTTATTTTTTTCAACACAAAAATGTGAACTTCAAAAAATACCCTTCACCTATTTCATTTATAAAGAACTATTGAAAAGAGAAAATATAATGAAAAGGCTAATATTGAAAAAATATTATTAACAAAACTTCATTTTTATCAAAAATAAACTATGTTTTAAAATTTCAAATCTCTCCCAAAAAAATGTCTCACGATTTGATATGTAAGAAGAAATACCCAGGATAACGCAAAATGACAACCATCATCTATGCTCTAAATTAAGATCTATATTTACCATTAAAGTCTCGTACACAACCCAACCCCCATATTTTGATTATATAATTTTAAGGCATAATCTAAGTCAAAAAGCAAAACTTCCACACATGATTATAAAACATTTACATGCATAACTATAAAGAATATTATGAAAGTATTCCACGGCGAATAAAAAAAAAAAAACGGTGGGGTAACGAAACATGAACATAACGTTGCGGAAGGGGTGCAGCAGGTGAGGTACACATTCCTAGTGACCCAACGTCCTACTTCCTGATTCGGTTAAATTTGTTCACACGATTCATCCTTGTACCCCAGCAATAGTCTTTCTTATTTCTCGTGAGGAGTGGAGTGAAAATCCAATCTTGGCTTCTCCAAGTTGAGCCATTTCCTCTAGTCTAACGCACACAACATTAGGACCTACAAATTTCTTTTCAGGACAGACACTGCAAATCCCCCTCAATGAAATGCCCTCATTTGTTACCACAGCGCAGAGTGCGACTAGGATACTAACTCCAATAGTTACTACATTGTTCCAATCCATTCTTATTAGAAGACATAATAGAACCATAACATCAAACCTATTCTAAACAACTTTAGAAAGTCAAATTGCTACTGAGCAATTGGTTAAAGTCCTACATTCCTTTGCTTTAAGAATAACAAGTGGTTAGAAGACTTACAAAAGTTTGTGCTTCTGTAAGTTCCCAAGTGACCAATATTTTTCCAGAAATTACCATCTCAAGCAATGATCGAACTCCTCTGCTGACTTAAATATAGAGAACTCTTCCTTATGAGTAGAATGAAGCCATACCAGCATCCCATCAGCATCATGCTTAATTATTTCACGTCATGCCAAAAACACCTGACGGTTATGACCCAAACAATTCAGGGATGATAACTACCTCATCCACCATAGACAACCGTCTGAACCAATGTATCACCCATTTCATCTCCATCATACCTTCATATAACGTCATGCAGCATTCTAATAGTTGAGCCTAGAAGATTTGCAAAGAAAATGATAGAGACAACACACAAGATGGAAAAAGACTGTCTAGACCCAGCTTGGCATTGGGCTTCATTATGGGAGCTCTGCACTTTGAAAAAGCAGCCGCTTGGCTGGAGACATATAAATGAATTTTGGGGGGGCAAAATTGTTTTGACGTGGTATAAGTTAAGTAAAGTACTTTTATCCTTCCCCATGCAGTGTCAAGAAAAATCTTCAAAGCCACAGTAGTACTAAACAGGGCATTAACCAACCCACAAATTATATGTTAACAGCTAATTCAAAATCCAAACAAAATTTGGAACTCCACTTGTTAATGCATGGAGAATAACCCCGAAAATCAATTAAAAACTCCTGAAAGTTAAAAAGGGAATTTCAATAAACTAAAACCTTTCCAAGCAATAGCAGCAGAAAAAATAAGTCATACCAATGGAGAACATCAAGGATAGTAGGACCAATGCATCCATCCAGGACAAAATTCACAAAAGGGAGAGCAACCCACCCAAGTGACCACTTCTCACCTTGGATAGATGTTTCAAAGCTCCATCAGTGGTTGCAGATGTCAAACTATGAAGAGGGGACCAGTTGTTCAGATACGACATGGTGTAATAGGTCATAATCCAGGTCAACGCTCAGCATATGCCAAAGTTATGAAAGAAATAACCTCTGCTGCTTGTCAAGAATGTTGTTGAAAAACATAAGCCGTATGTAAATGGTTCACCACATCAAATATAGTTCATTTTTCTACTTCATTGGAAAAACAAGAGAAAAGAGGATCGAGGCAAAAAACTATGGCCTTCAAATTGAATGTGACGTTAAAATGTGGACATTCTACTAAAATCAAAAAGCACGAAAAATTCACAAATCAATTCCCTCAAATTACCAGAATGAACTTTCATGCTTAACAAATACGTAGAGAATAATAACAACTAAAAGGATGGAAAAATCTCATAAATCATGGCTGAAACCCAGAGGCACGTGTAAAACATAAAATACTTGAATTTTCAGCCTCCAATAAAAACAAAGTATTCCAAACCATCTCGCTGTCATGGGCTTTCAATGTCAAGCAACCACAAATTGCATTGCTATAGCTTTTTTCTTTTTTTCTTTCTTTCTTTTTTTTTTTTGGGGGGGGGGGAGGGGGGAGTCCACACGTTTAAAAATATTGCATAAAGTTTTCTCTGCCTCAAAATTCAACCTGATCCTCAACAGCATTTCAAGTAGAGGCACTACATTGCTTAAAAAAACTTGTCACAGGGAAAATGTACTTGATATCAAGAAAATACAAGTTTCAGAATCTGGTTCTTTTAGAGATCAAATGGTGATGATTCATTACAAATTTAAAGGATGCATTTGAATAGTGCTGGGAACTTCAGAAGAATCAGCAGAGTCCAAAACTAAATGATTGATGCATCTATGAGGTATCTGCACAATGAATACATAAAGCATAAAAAGAGTAATTTCATTAAAAATATCCAGTAGAAAGGCAGATACAATAGTAAAGTTATGAAAGCCATACCAATGGTACTGCAAAAAAGATTTTCATGTTATATTTGTTACAAACCACAATACAAACAAGGTAATGTTTGTTTTAAAACAAGACTGATGAAAACATAAATAAATGATAAAACAGTAAAATGCAAGCTTCTGAATGTTGTTTGGCGAGGATAAAACTCAATACGTCAAAGCTAAATGTTCATTGAACTTGGAACAGAAAGCATTAACATTTATTGTTTCAATTTTCCTTCTTGCGGCCTGATATGAATGCAAATAAGAAATTTTAAAAACAAAAGACTAATATGAGAAAACTCAGGAAATGGTGAGCACACTTACTAAATATAAGGACACAATTATGGCTGCTAAATTGCAGGAGTGCTAGCCTGACTATGCAGAGGGCCAGAAGCAACATGAAATCATGTTCCTAGTGATGAATAGAGTTGTAAATGGTCTCTACTAGCTAAGGCATGATTCAACACTGGATAGCAGGCTCATTCAGCAAGTCAGACATCACTAGACCAAAAACCACTAACTGGGGACAGTATTTTATTTTTTAGAGCAATAAAGAGAAACTAACTTTAAATATAGAATCAATCAGACAGCTATATCTACAAGACAACAGATAGATATTACTCTCAAGATTAACCCATCATATTCTCACCAACTTTAATCCATGGAAATTTCATCATTTTGCTTTCCAGACTGGGAAAAATAATATGCACTATGTGAATTTAGAAGGTAAGTAGGCAGCATCTAAGCAATGTGCCCTGCTACAAATTCAAACTTTCCTGAATTAAAGATGTATGATAACATCAAAAGGCAACGGCAACCTGACCAAATGTCCCTTTGTACAAGGACTAGCATTGGTTGAACACCCAGTCATGGGAAATCCTTGATTATCTGTAACACTTATAAACAACAGCTAGCAAACATGAAAACACCCTTATAAGATATCTCTTACACCCAAAAAGAAGCATGCATCCATAATTGTTGCATGCTTAGATAACACCTTTATAAGATTTTACAATATTTATTCAATAAAGAAACACGCAACCACTCACTGTTGCAAGCTTAGAGGACATCTTTAAATGATTTCAGAAGATATATTTCATAGACCTGTAAAGTGATCCATCAACAACCATGGTAGATAAAAGCATCCCGACATAGTTCACGTCACTCTTCTCTAGGGCTTTAACCATCACCCTCCCTTGTGATGTTAAAAAAAAAAAAAACCACCTCACTTTATCGCATGTCAATAACATTGCTCCATATTTTTGTCCTCCCGTCTAAGAGAACGAACTATAACAAGGATATTCACAAAAATTGACGACAAAAAACAATATATTTCACATATAACACAAGACCACCTCATTCTCTACAAAACATAGTCCCAAATTAGAAAATTCAACCAGCATATATACATGGACAAACCATAGAGGACCTCAGTTCTAAAATATCAAAGACAGCATATCCACCAATTTACAAGTTAACAATTAATACACATTCTGTCTTTTATCCTTTAGCATTCTGACTCCAAAAGCAAACACCCAATTTAATTGCTTGAACTGAAAAGGGAATTCAGACAGGAGTAAAGCAAATACTGATCCAGATGTCTAGGTTTCGCTAGAAAAAAAGTACTTGTCGCATTCATAAATAAATACTTAGCATGAAGAATGCACCTAAGCATAAGCTCCCTCTAAAAGGAAATCATTTATCCCCTATTGCACAGCACTGATTAGCCACAATACCAAAATTTTTTAAGATAAACAACGTGACTAGCGACCCTTTTGCAATGGACATTTTCTTTCTTAATTGAAATGTGAATAAATTTTGCAACTCAAATTCTTTTGGCAATAGTCAAGTTAATTTTGAAATTACTAGAAAGCAATAATTACATCATGGTCAAAGGAAGCAATATGCTCGACGCACCACCCACATTAATCCATAAGTAAATTCTTTTAAAGGAAAATGTTTGATTTCTTCACATTTTCAGGGGGCGTCGGAACTAAAAATATGAAACAGTAAAAAGAAACTGCCAAAAATACTCGTTCAATTTATATAGATGTTCCCCCACACTATCTGTCTCTTGTTTTACAGTACAGTGTCATCATCAGTTTCATGTTATGCGTTATAAAACATTTTCATTTTTTGGCACATACAAAAGAAAACAGTTTTCATGAAAAACAAGAGTAACCTTAAAACGGAAAAAAATCAGCAGCAAATAGATTTGGAAAATGCAAGGCTACCCAAAGCTTGACTCACCTAATGACCCATGTAAGGAGCGCCAGGGCCAGGATGAGGCCTAACACCACTGCTCTGCCCCATTTGTGGATTCTGGTACCCCCCTTGCATTCCTGGTTGGTTCCCGTAGCCCACAGCAGGTTGATTGACATATCCAGCAGGGGGCCCAGCCTGGTTTGTGGGGGCACCACCAAGACCTCCAAGCAGGTTACCCAGCCCTAGCCCTGCACCTTGGGTGGTGAGCAAAGCAGTCAAGGCCTGCCCAAGTGCCGGATTCAGTCCCTGTGCTGCCACTCCAGGATTGAAACCGACAGAAGGAGCTGAGGGCGCCATTAGGTGTCCGGGTCCCGGTCCATGCCCGCCAGACTGATACTTAGTTTTCTCCTTTCTTGACTGGTAATGAGGCTGATGATGATGAGAATGATGCTGCTGCTGGTGATGTTGATATCCCTTGTTTCCCTTAGGACCATCAACAGCCTTCTGACAATACAATGTATGCCCTTCAAAGTTTTTGTGAGGTTCTTCCAAAGCCTTCTTTGCACTCTCTACTGACTTGTATACAAACAATGCAAATCCCTTCGGCTTCCCCGTCTGCTTATCAAGACCCAAGGGACCATCCTCTATCTCCCCAAATTGACCGAAGAACTCAAGCAATTTTTGGGGATCCAGTTCTGCACTTACATTGCTAACAAAGATCTTCCTTTGAGTATATTCAGACACCGGTGGGGCCACTGTAGCAGGTGAGGGGACTGGTCCAGCGGAGGCCAATTGACACGATGTTGTACGGTTCCCAATCTTTTTCTGCGGCTGTTTCAGCGCCTTTCGAGCGCCACTTCGGTGCTTGAACAAGATGAAGGCATAACCTTTTGATTTCCCAGAGACCCTATCGATGACAGCCTTGCAATCCTCAATCTCACCATACTTCCCAAAAACACTCGTAAGGGTTTCCGCAGTGGTGTCCCAGCCAAGACCGTGGATGAAGATTTTTCGGTGGGCAGGATCGACGTCCGCCAGCTGACGGACGTTGTCGATAAAATCCGGGTACTTCTCTGCAGCTTGCTTGACAAGAGAGTAGAGCTGCTCCTTTGTAAAAGGCTCAAGAAGCTTCTCTAAAGGCTCTTCTTCGTCCAAAACCTCATCATCATCATCGTTCTCGTTGCCTTCCTCGGCTCCATTCGCATCAACCTCAGCTGATTCAGATGGGGCAGCACCGGTTACAGCTTCCGCTGTTTCTCGGCGTTCAACAACCTGCTCTTGAGGGTGAACTTCTGGAGATACACCTGCATCCGCGTTTTCTTCCAATTGTACATCTTCCTGATGCGTATCATCATCCACAGCCATCGTTTCGTGTCCCTGGTGCTCTTCTTCCAGGGTTGCTTCCGGGTTTGGTTGTTCGTCAACTCTAACTTCCTCATGGATTTGCTGTTCTTGGGTTTGTTCTTGTTGTGCAGGTTGTGAATCAGATGTCTTAGCAGATTCGATCTCAGATGATCGAATCTTTCGCTTCTTGGCCATGGCGGTAGAATGGCGTTTTGGGACTTGGAAGACGAGCTAGGGTTTGAAGCAGAGAAAATAGAGAACGGAAAATCGTTTTATCAAACTCCGAACACAAATAAAAAATGACTTTTACCTGTTAATTATGGATGTGAGCTTTCGCCATTTCTTTTTTCTTTGTTTTTTTTTTTTTTCCCTGGCCGGGCCAGAGCCATACAGGACCCAAAAGACACAATGTTATAGGCGAGTACTATGCTAAGTTGCTAACCTTTTTTCCAGTCTATGAGTGCCGGATGCGAACGTCATTCTGGTATTTCATATTACCTGAATGCATTAAAAATAACAGTTTTGAGTTTTACTGTCTAATTTTCAAACATTCAATCTTATTTAAAAGAAAATTTATTCACAATTCCTTGTAGTCTATCTCAATTTTATATTAAATAAACTAGTGTATTTTCCCTTCTTATTCTGAAAACCACGTTGTTGTCCCAAGGAGGGGTTTTTCAAAAAATAATAATAATAATAAAAATAAGAAAGGCCGCAAGAAGAATAGTACAAAGGTAACAATTAAGTTATATCAACATTTAAAAAACTATCAAGTCAATCTATATCATTGTTAGTTTCTTTATAGATATAATCAAGAGTGATTATTTAATCTTTTATAATAAAATTTTTAATTTTTATAATTGCTTTAGAGAGAGGGTGATTGTCATTAAAATTACAATAAATAAGTGAAAGAGCTTAAAAAGAGTTGGTGTAAATATTAACTTTTAAAAACTTGCTCATCCAACATGAATATAGTAGATAAATCTGCACTCGAATGATGCACTTTGATGTAACCATGTTTTGTTGTCTTTGTATCTACATATATAAGCATTTTTACTCGGAAATCAAAAATGGAAATTGGTTGTTTGCAATTATAGAGGCCAAGAATTGCTTCTTCAGGCATGACGTTTTGTTGTGTGTGTGTAAAGAAGGAAGTGCATGTTCACAATTTATTGAGTCTTAAAAAAATAAATAAAAATATTTTATTAAAAAAATGTGTTATCTACATTTTTTTTTCAAAACATTATTATTAGATAAATTAACTCATTAATCAAAAAAAATCGTGTGCCCAAAAAATATGGAACAAATTCTTGAAAATTTGAGAGTATGATTAATTCACATTAATGTACGAAGAATTTATCGTTAATATATGATCGTATATCATTGACAAATATAATAAATCAATCATAATGCAAAATATAAGAGATATTGGGTTATTTGTGTTCGTTGGGAACAATAAATTACCAAACGTGCCGGAGACGTTGAGTCTCAATTGATAACAAAAGGTTTCTGGACTCCCTTACCATAGTTTACCTGAAAAGGTAAAAGATACACAAGAGTTGAAATAACAAGTGTTTAATTAATGCTAAAGGATTACAAAGCATTAAAGATTACAAGACTAAAAACGAAAGTAAAGTTACACGTAAAATCTATCTTATGAATCAAAGAACTATAGATGTGAAAATGTCAGTATTGGATAAGTGTTGTTGTCCTCTTTCTTTATGATTTAATCCTCCTTTTATAATGATTAAGCTGTGGCAGTTGCTTCCATGGAATTTAGAACTTATTAGCAGAATATTAGGGATTCCTTATACACGGTCTGCGAAATTCATGGCATAGTTTATTAGCAATGAGTTCCATTATTTAACGGTTAGCCCATGCCTTCGAGATACTCGTGAATAATTGTCATGTTTTCACAAAATTTAGGGCTCGTTGAGGTTATGGTTTTACGCACCAACGATCTAAGTAGTTGCTTCGAAACTTAAAGGATTCGAGAACCTGTGTTCATCTAACTAAGTTATTCTCTTAAGATCTAGACTAGCCCTTTTTGTTTAGATTGCTGATTAGGCCTAACTCTTTAGTTACTCAACCCACTTTAGATTATGGCCCTTAGTAAGTGACATTTCAATGTTAGCCCAAACAATGCCCCTCGCGTACTAGTGGCTGGTAACTGTAAGCCATGTGGCACATTTGAAAGAAGACCTAAACATCGCTTCATCTCTGTGCGCCTTCTTGTAAATATAAATTTTTAGGGTAAAGGGGCAAATATACCTACAAAGTGGTTAGCTAATGACACCCAGTATTTTAAAGTGAGGAAAAGGGTAAAAATACTCCTAACATTATATGAATGGGTACAAAAGTGACCAAACCGTTAACTTTGACCTAATGCATTAACTTTGATCATTAAATACTGACGTGCATGCCATATGTCAACCTTTGCTGACGTGAACTAATAAAGGGACAAAAATACTCATGAAGTCATCAGCCAAGAGCAAAAATATATATAATATTACTAAAGTTGGTGCAAAAATAACCAATCCATCAAATCCCTTAAATATTGACCGTTTGGTTGACATCTAAGTAGAAGTTAACTATTTTTTTGCTAATGTAGACTAAAAATATTCCCAAATAAATTTTTACGAGTGTTGATTGATCATCATATGAGTACATATACTTAGTAACCAATCTATCAAAATTTATGCCACATGATTTCTTTCCATCGTCACATATCTCACCCCCTTCCTTCCTCCCTTTTCACTCATTTTTTTTTCTGCAAAACTTAATATTCAACATAGTGAGATAGGTTATACACATTGAAAGATCGAAATTAAGCACACCTCTTACACCGCACTACTTTAAGAATATTGTTACAACCTTAAGCAATTTCATGTATAATAGGTTCAAAATTTTCAATTAGCTTGCACCACTACTGTAAAGAAACAAGCAATTTAATTTGATATTTGGTCAAAACGACATTTTTTCATATGATATTCATATAATGATCGATTAACCTTTAGAGAATTTCATCTAGAATATGTTTTGTTCGTTCAGCAAAAAATGGTCAACTTCTACTTAGGTATCAACCAAATGGTCAACATTTAAAGCATTTGATGGATTGGTCATTTTTGCACCAAATCTGATAACATTCTGGGTATTTTTGCTCCTGGTCGACGACTTCATAGATATTTTTGCCCCTTTATTAGTCCACATCAGCAAAGGCTAACACGTGGCATGCACAATCAACATTTAATAATTAAAGTTAACAATGTTAAGTCAAAGTTAACAGTCTGATCACTTTTGCACCCACTCATATAACGTTATGAGTATTTTTGCCCTTTTCTTCATTTTAGGATATTGGGTACCCCTAGTTGACCACTTTGTGAGTATTTTTGCCCTATTATCCAAATTTTTATTTCTTTTCTTTGCCATTCCTTTTGTTTTCTTTACCATTTCTTGAACCTTAAGCTTTTACTATCCTTATTCCTTTAATTTCTCTGTTCAACAATGGCTTCCTCCTCTATTTCTGCCACTTCTTTTGTCGCTCCCCCTAATATTCCTGTCAGGAGCTTACTCAACTCTTTAATCACAATCTAAAATCTTGTCACCCTTTTAGGAGGACTTACTACAGTAAATACTTCACCTTAAACTTGCATTTCTTTGAATTAAGTTCTTCGTCTAATGTTTTCCCCTTTCTTTTTTGGTAAGATTTTTGTCTTATGTCTGATTCTTGCATATTTTAAGGATAAATGTTGATCACATTGTACTTTGTCTTTTTAGCACCTCTCCTGGAGCTTTCATATATCTAATCAGAGTGACATTGGGTATTTAACCATTGCTCCTGACCCATCAGAGGTGATAGTACCCACTCAACAGAATTCATAGCCTCTAACCTCAATTCGTGACCTTATGTTGGCCTAGATGACCTCGACCTTTACTAAATCCTCTTACCAAAAGCTCCACAACTGACCCCAATTTCCTCATCCATGGACTATCTGGGTTAAATGCTTAAAGCCAACTTATGAATTATAGTGGAAGGACATAGGCTTTTTTGACCTAATCCAACTTTTGTTAGCTGAAGTTGATATACCTATTAACTTGCTAACGGCCATTTTGAGTTTTTGGGCTCCTAGTTGCAATGCCTTCCTTTTCGAGCTCAACCCCATATCAATCATACTTTAGGATGTGTTTATGTTCTTAGGGCTATCAATTACTAGAGAGGAGAACTTCTTTGCCATCCCTAAGAGGCATGAGTCTTATGTCACTCTGTCTGTTGAACTGGAATCCAAGATTTGGGGTGACGCGTCTTATACATAGATCATAGAGCTATCTTTGGAGAAGTCATCTATGAGCCCATGACCCTTACAGAGCATTTGGTTTTCATCTAGATCTTATTAAGTCAATAAATCTTGGCCCCGAGGGGAGGAAAGCCTATACAATTCCATCTATGAGTCGCTCAATCCTTACTTAGGAGCAACCAATTGGCCCTGGGTACCATCTTTCTTTGTCGTCTTTATGATGGGCCTCTATGGTTTTTAAAGATATGGACAACCACCGACTTCCCCTGCTTCATCAAGAGTCTTTGCCTATAGAGTCAAGCATCTCTCATCCTTTTATTGGTTTGCTGAGTGCTTTCCCTCTAGAAGAGATGAAAAACTTCTTTGAATTTTTGTATTGGCAGAATTGGTCCTTGCAAAGGACTTTAAAGCCTTTCAATGTTTTGAATTGCCATCCTCCTCCTTGGTATAGATTTTGGTGGATTAGAAGAATAAACCTACTTCTTTGCTCAGGGACGAGATCTTTCTCTTGACCACCATGCCTAGAAAGATGTGGCTTCCTTTCACTACCTCGTCCTCCAAATCCTTAAAGTTTTTTCTAGAATTTTATCACCCCTAACTAGTAGTAGGCCGGTTCAAACTTAGCCAGTGTATACCTTATAGTTTATCTTCTTGAGTCAATATGGAGTTGCTGGACAAATATGCCATCGATCGGGTAGCCATTCCACACACTACCCAAAAGTAGTGTAAGGTGGAGCAAGTGGACCTGGATGCCTATCTTTGTTTTAATAAGTGGTAGCCCTAGTGTTCAGATGTATCGTAAAGAGCTATACCAGTAAGTATCGTTTATTATTTATGTCTTTTTCTCGTTATATTGCTTATACATTTTGACATATTTCTTGCTTTTTGTAGACCTGGATTGGGCACAATCTCCCATATTGGTAATTTCTTAAGGGGCAATATTGATGCTCCTACTACTTCTGCAACCAAGATAGTCCCTTTGATAGGGGCCGTGGTCGGGGA